ACTGTTATTTAGTGTGGACTTTGGCAAAAACACAAACTCCCTTTGTCTACTGCTATGGCAGACTAAAGCAGAGCAGTGACGCGGAGCAGTCACTGTTTGAGGAGGATTTAATTTGATAACTTGCATTGCCCCACCCTGTGCTGCTCAGAGCTGCCAGGAAATATTTGTTCAGGTTTTCTTCAGACTCTAGATTTCAGTCATTAAAGGCAAATGCTGTTAGCCAACTAGGCGAAGGGACGAGGGCCAATGAATTCATTCCTTGAAGATAGAGAAATGTCAACCTGGTAAAAGCCAAACCAACTGGCATTAATTAAAGCCTTGAGTCTCAGAGACCAAAAGCAGTCCCATTTGCCGGCAGGGACTTAGCAATTGGGAAGGATATTACTAGTTCTGGGTCCCCCAAATGCAGTAGAGGACATGCTTAAGGGACTTCCTACCACACTGGAACACCCAGAAAATGTGACTACCTGTCATATCAAATTTCTCCAAAACTTGGTCACTCCCTCCTTCCTCTCCAAGTCCTTCTTAATTCAGCAGCCTCTAAGATCACTGCAGAAACCCCTGGGGTGGGGTGCAGTTTTGAAACCCCAGATTAAAAGCCAGTGACCCTTCATTCTTACAGAGATATCAGTGTGAATGGACCCTAAACAGAGGTTGCTGGTTTTAACTTCTACCTTGCCCCAACCATCATCTTTCTGAATGGTCTTCATCCCTAGCTCTTAAAAATGTGCCCTTTTGCCCTGGCCAGGTTGGCTCAGCAGTTAGAGTGTCAATCTGCGGACCAAAGAGAGTTTGATTCTGGTCAAGGGGGTCAAGGGCACGTACCCTGGTTGTGGTTTGGTCTCTGGCCCTGGTCCGGGCCATGCAGGAGGCAACCAACCAATGTGTCTCTCTCTCATCGCTGCCTCCGCCCCCCCCCCCCATCTGAAGATAAATGGAAAAATATCTTGGGTTAGGATTTAAAAATAATAATAAAAAATAAAAATATGCCCTTTCTGTTCAGTGGCCTCTAAAAAGAGCCTTGGTTTCTCAGCAGAAGTTTGTAAAACTGGTCACAAACTCCTGGTTCAACCCTTTAAAAGCCTTATCCAAGATGACAAAGCTAGGGAAATCTCAATCCCCTCTTCCTCTCGTTTCTTCCTTGTTCAGTAGGATAGGCTCTACTGACACGCACCCGAAAACCAGACAGACCTTACCTTGCTTTCTCTCCCACCGTCTTCCCAACTTGCTGTCGAGTAAGTAGCAGCGTTTTGAAGAACCACCCCAAAGCAGGAGGCTCCAGGTCTGCTGCCTGAGCTTAGCAATGGCTGCACGGACACTGGGTTATATTTGCTTGGGTTTGCATCTTAACCACATTTGCCTACTCCTAGCCAATCACAGCCAACCTAGCCCTGGGTTTGACTTATTCAAACCAGAGGGAAAGCTTTATCTGTTCCTATTCAAAACAGCAAAAACAAGAGCAGACTTTCACAGGCTTTTTTTATAACTCCAGCTCCACGCCCTGATCTAATTGATTTTTGAAAAGTGCATAGCCCATCAATAATGCAGGAAAGAGGGTGGGAGGATATGAAATTTGCCATATTGTAGATATGGATGCATTATGCTGACAGGAGGCAAGGGCTAGAGCTGCCCGCTGTGCCTGAGATGTCCAGGCTGACAAGTGCCCCCTTGAGAAGCTTTTGGGCATTTCTTGGAGGGGAAGACTAGGAGAGAGGCCAGGGGTGTGTTATTACCTCATCCTACTTTGTTCCTAGGGGTCATACATCAGGCCAATCAATATTTGAGTGCCTACTATGTGCCAGGAACCACCCTGGGTTCCAAGTTTCAGGGATCCTGGTTTGGGAACATCAGTAAGGGGCACAGAAGACTAAAGACTCCAAGTTCCCTGGGGCTGCTGGTTCACCCCCAGAAGTCAATAGGACACCAAGCATATGCTTATTAAGTACCTGGACGGCAATGGAGTTAATTCCACTGGGGGCCAGGGAAAAGCTAACGTAGCCCGACTTGTGCCTGTGACCTTGAACAGAAGCTTGTGCCAAGTCCGCAGCTGGTTTCCCAGTTATGGTGTTCAAGCTTTGTCATGACAGAAGGGGTTGTGAGGGTTGACAGGTGTGCCCAGTAAATGCCCCCAAAATACTCTGGTTTCTCTTCAGATCGCATAAATCTTTCGCCTTTTACCAGTAAGTGCCCAAATGAACAGCAAGGTCAGGAGGCAGTGCCCATTCCAGGATGGGTTTTTTAAACCCGCTTTTATTAATTGTAAGTAATACAAATATTCCAAAAATATAAACAGACACTTAATGGCGTCCTACATTTCAAGTTTTTTTGAATACAACAAATTTATCAAACCATGAATCTGTAAGCAAGGTAGTCAGAACCCCACAGCCCAGTCACAGTAGGAAGCAGATCCCTACCCTCCAAATGGCATCTTGAAGGGCAGTGGCACTGACATGGAACGTGTCAGACTTGGGATAACTACAAGCAAAGAAGCTGATGGGGCCAAGAGGAGGGTCTGCTCCAGGAGCAGCGGGTCAGACCTCTGCCTTCCTTCCCCTGCTTGAATGCAAATATTTGCCTTAAGGGGGGGGGGTACTAAAACCCCATTTTACAAAGTGACAGGGACAAAAACAGTAAAGGAACCAACTGAAGACATGAAGGGGAAAATAGGCTTTCCTTCCTCAGACACTTGGTCTGGCTGGGACATGGGACGCAGGACAGCATTACAAGGGGCTGCCCTACTGGACAGGCCTCAGGAACAGGGCAGGGGTAGCAGAACAGAATGGCACCCACTTCCCAGGGAATGATGCTATTAGATTTCCCATGCTTTTAGCAGAGAGAAGCTTTTCAGCCACTGTTAACAAAGGTGAGTTTATATACTTACAAGAGTCAAAATCTTTGGGAGGCAGGAGGTAACTAAACAGAAGGTCCCAGGTTAACTGAAGGCAAATTTACTCAACCTCTCTATGTAGTAAGGGACCCATGGGCCTACAGAGTGTCCCCTCTACAATGTGCAGAGTGAAAACTCTTAACTGACCCTTTTCAATCTGGTCCTGTGTCCAAAGCTCCCCCTATGAGAGGGACACGAACATCAGGCTTTTGATTTAGAAGCCCAATCAGAGAGACACACTGTGTCCCTGAAGAGGCACATTAAAGAACCAAACCTGGCAGGTGGACAGATTCCCGGCATGGCTTGAATTGGTGCTGACCAGGCATGGTGGCTGATTGCCTCCCAAAGACCAGCCTCAAACAGGAAGGGCTGGTGGGAAGCCCTAGAACAGACCCTGAGGTGAACAGCCCCACCCCCCACCCCGCCTCTTTGCCCCCTCCAAAACTGGGTCTGGCCTGACTCCTCTCAGGAGCACCCTTCATTTGCCCTAACACACTGAAACTGGAAACCAGACAGCAAATGAGGTTGCTCTGGTCCACATGAATGAACCATGTAAATTTGGCCTCAGTTGCTTCTCTGGGGAAGTGGAAATTGCTTATCTGCTGAGGAATAGCAGGTGAGCAGGGCAGAGTTCTGATGGGAACCAGTCCTGCAGTGCGGGGGTTCCCACAGAGAAGTGAGAACACTCCCATCAAGCTATCCTGGGCTCTGGTCAGGAGTCACTCTCAGAGCACTTGGACACGCCTGACAGGAACAGGGCTGGCACAGGTTCTTCCTTCCCCTGGAGGAATATGGAGAAAGGGATCCAGGAACTGGATCAGCTTAGAACCTCTTATTGCTTAGTTAGAAAACCTTGGCTGGGCCCAGATGGCCAATTTGACCCAAAGGCTAAACTAACCCTTAGGGTGGGTCTTGAGAGAGGCCCCTCCCACAATATTAGGATGGAGGCCTAGGTCTGGGCCTTAGAATGAGAAGCCCCCATTTTCCTTCAGGAGCTGCCCGTGGCTAGCACCAGAGCCCTCGTCCCCTACCTGCAGGACCCCATGGGAACCAAGGAATGATGCTGGGGGAAATGACCACATGGTTTTGGGGACTCTGTTCCACTTGTGATACAGGGGAAACACAAGGCCTCACAACCTTAGAGAAAGCAGGGAGGTGGCACCATAATGCTAGAGAAAGATGCTAGTCAGCCAGATACCATCCAGACCACCAAGCTGCTATTCCCCTACCTGGCTTTCTTGAAATAGGTTAGTTCCTTAGGCTGGACCTAGTGTGTGGAAAATGAAAAGGATAATGGGGATGAGTCCAGAGTGGGAAGTGTCCTCACACCCTAAACAATGTACAAATGCTTTGTAACATCTGCCTCCAGGGAAAACAGATGATAGGAACTCCCTCCTGCCTCAGAGGGAGGGAAGGAAGAGAGGAAAGAACCACATCCAGACCTGGGGGAGGCCACGATTAAAGCAGTGATGCTGACATGGGGCCTCCTTTTGGGGGGAACCCTGTGCTCCCAATTACAGCAGCACTTCCTCTTTTTCCATCCTGGGGAAACTTCCATTTTGTGACTCCTTTTTAAAGCATTCACTATTAAAAAATGAAAGCAAGAGATATGCAAAGGGCAAGTGGGCAAAGGACTCGCTCATCATACCTGTTACCAGAGGCAGGAGGCATGTGTGTTAGGCTGGCAAAGTAATGATAGCAACACCCACTACTCCCTCCCCCCCGGAAAAGCAGGAGTGCCTCTGAGGTCCTGGAGAAAAGGAATGACAGCCAGGAAGGATGAAAACGGAGAGAGCTTGGCACAGGCCAGGCCCCAGGGGAAGACAGGACAGGAAAGAGCCCTGCCCAAGAAAAGGAAGGGCAGATAGGGTGCACCCTTCCCGGACTTTGGAACAAAAGTCCTTGCACCAGCACCAGCACCAGCACCAGCAGAGAATCCCTGAAGACAGATTTACAGACAGTCCCAAGCTCAGCTGATCTATACACAAGCCAAGGGGACACATACATTCAGGCTTTTGGGATTTTCCTCTTCCCTGCATGTTCAGTGCCACCCACATTCACCGTAAGCCCAGGACTACAGCTTTGTCAGAAACAAAACAGGCCCAACACTCCATGTTTAGAAAGAATTTTAAAACAGAGTCAAAAGAACGGAAATCAGTTATCTGCCCTCTTCCATGGCAGGGAATAGAGCTCCTTCCCCATGGGTTCGAGACTTATGGCTAGGTAGTGAGGAAGGCAGGCCCAACACCCAAGCCTTGGGAGACACAGAGGGCCCATGCCAGGCACTCGGCTGGAGGCAAGTGCAGCCCTTGAACTGCAGGACTCGATGGCCATGGGGGCGACCAGTTCTAGAAACAAGTTTTCATCTTCCAGAATTGTTGTCTATCTGCAGCAGCTGGCTGGAGAAAGGGTTCAAGAAGGAGTGTGCTGGGGCACCCAAAGGCAGCCTCTGACTGTTCCTTTCTCCTTGGCACAAGCCTTGTAACACTGAGGAAAAGGCCATGGGTTTGGCAATGGAGCCTTGAATAGTCTTCATCCCTATAGAGCTCAGTGGCTCTTGGGGTGACTGGAGAGGAGACGAATTTGGGGAGTCTTGATCTTTCAGCTTCTTCCCCAAACTGAAACACTTATATACTTGAACACAGTTCAAGGCAACACACACACATACACACACTCTCTCTCTGTCTCTCATCTCAGGAACCCATTGGAGGAAGTAGGCAGCTTGGGGTATCATTGGTCTAACATTTGCCCACTCAGCATCTAACCTGTCCTAAAGTTCATTCCCATTACTTCTATTTCCAGGCCCCATTTGGTGAGATGCTCCAGCTTCTGCTCCATCTGTCAGGCTGGTCTTATAAAGGCACAGTGTAGGAAAGTCCCCTCCTGGGATGGCCATTGCTTGGAAGCAGGGCTAAGGGGCCCGAAGCTGCCCAAGGCTGGTGTAGACATCCTCTGCTCCACTCAACTCCTCAAAGATTGGGATCAGGTTCAGCAACTCGGTGTCTGCCATGTCATCAAACCAAGACTGCACAGGCACCTGGGGCAGGAAAAAGGCAGCATAAATCTCCCAAACGCCAGTTCTTCCCTCCCTTGCCCCAGAGCCCCTGGAGGCTGGCTGGATTCACCTAGGATGGTGTGCTCTTCTGGTAAAGTCCGAGGGTCCCCTACCCACTTCCTCTCCCACCTAGGGCAGGGACTCTCCCAACCCCTGTAGTGTGGGTATGTCTGGACCACTTACTGCATTCTCTGGATGGAAGATATAAGAAGCAGGCGAGTTGTCCAGAATAAGGGTTTTCCTTAGGTCCCTTCCCAGGCGACTAAGGTCCTTGACATAGCAGCCCTGATGGAACACACAGGACTCACGGAACAGGCGGGCTCGGAACACCCCACACCTATCTAGCAGATCCGTCACAGGGTCAGCATACTGGAGAAGAAAAGACACTTTTGTTTGGATGTAGTTCTGGTTCCCCAGTGGCAATCTGGGGGCCCGCAAGGGGCTGCTGGAAAACCTCTGTAGCTGCCACACCTGTTCCCAGTATCCCCACCCCAGGTACCTTGGCCAGGCTGGCAGTGAAGAGAACACATTCAAAGAGTTCCCCCATCCGTCTCAGGAACTCGTCTACATAAGGCCTCTTGAGCACATACACCTGAAGAAAAGCAGAGGCTTGTTGAAGGCATCCCTGTGAGGGTGAAGCTTCACAGCACCAGTAACTGTCACCACTTACACAAAAAGCAACAAATAGTTTCAGACCTTATTCTGTCCAGATTCCCATACCTCAGCCTTTGGGACCACCTGCTGGAAGCCTGCCCCACAGGCCAATGTACTAACAGTACCTCCTCACCAGGCTTCATCTGGCTCGGTGGCCCCAGCCTTGACCCAGCTCAGGAAGAAATGCGTGCACCTATGTCCCGGGGGCCAACTTGGTGTCCGGCGGTGAACCATCAGCTGCCTCCAGAAACAAGTAATCAAGAATAGGCCTCACAGATGGAAATAGCCTATCCTGGATTACTTGAATCCAGCCACAGCCTCTGTGGGAGCTTCCTGTCCTTGGCTCTGGCAGGATAGTCTGTCTGTCCAGGTCACCATCAGGAAAGATTGCAGATACTTCCCGACGCCTGATGCCCTCACACAGCTCCTCTGAAATGCACCAGGGAGAAGTGACTTTTCCCCTCAAGGATCACAGACCAGACTGTTGCTCTAGTGCCCCCACCCATTTTGTACTTGCTTACCCAATACCCCTAACACTTGTGTCCACCTTTTAGGACCTTGCACATTTAGGCCTCAAAGATCCATTGGCTACATGTCCCTCATCAGTCTGCACGCTACTGCTTCCCCGCCTCTAGGCTCTTGCCCGCTCACCCAGGTGACACAGGTGCTACTAGAATCATCCTGCAAAGCCCCTTTTATCTCTCCCTCTTCCTGGCTCTTCATCAAGCTCAGCATCCCCTACTTCTACAGGTAGGCACCCTCATATGTCATCATCCAGGCCCCTCCTTCTTAATTAGGATTTCACAGTACATACTGCCTGTTTGAAAACACGGGTTTTGTACATCCCTACACCCTCAACTAGACTGTCTAGGGCTGCTGAGCTGAGGCTGGGCAGTCCAAGGGCTAAGCCTGGCTCTGAGCAGGGGCTGGCTCTGGGTTTGGCAGAGTACCTCAGCTGGGAGGGGTTGTGCTGGTGAAGAAAGCCTCTGATGGATGCAGGATAGTAACGGCAACCCATGGAAGACTCAAATACCATTTCTCTACAAGTTACTCTACTATTTGACCAGGCCATACAAGCAAGTATCAGGGCTACCGGGGTACTGCTCCTGATGATCCCTGACTCTCAGGCCAGCTGTCAGGCCTTCTGGAAAAGCTTTTGCAGTAAACGGTTTTCCACTATCAATACCACATGGTCCTTAACCCTGGACTGAGCAAGTTATGCAGGGCCAGAGCCTGATCTTATTTAGATTCATGTGCTCTTTCTTTTAACAGATGTGTACTGAGCATTGGGAGGAATCCAGTTTAGGGACCCAAAGGGACTGGAGAAAGATTCACAGAGGAGAAGCCTGGCTGGGGAGGAAGAAATTCCCTAGCTAGATGGAGAAGGTGGGGCATGGGCAGCAGAGAAAACAGCTAGTATTGGCTTCCTTGCCTGGAACAGGCAGAGAACCAACTATTCAGGATTAGAGAAAATGTAATAAATTATACAATAGTGCTGGTCACACTGGGAGAGAGAGGTGGTGATCAATAAATCACTATCACTAGTGATTAAATAATATTTAATTTCAAACAGCTTGGCTGCAAAGAGAAAAAAGGTGACAGTTAGTAGGGGATGAGGGCTGAATTTTTTTTTTTAAAGACAAGGAAGCCTTGAGTGTGAAAGGGTGTTAAAAGTACCAATAAAAGAGGCTGCAGTTACAGAAAGGGATCAACTGATGGAACACAAGCCCTGAGAGAACAGAGGACCCTGAGCCCTTTGGGCTGGGTGTGGCCTAGCAGGCAGCTCACCTGGTGAGTAGTCCCCTCAATCTCTACAGGCACTATGAAGTCAGCGTTGTTGATTGGCTGGGAAGGAGAAAAGTTAATGAGGTCAGTGTGGTGGAAAGGAGACCTGAAGCCCCTGCCACAACACTGCACTGTCACCTGGGAGGGTGGGAACAGATCTGAGACTCCAGGAAGCTCCTCCAGCCCACTGAGTGGTTCTCACTCCTGCACAGGATGCAGTGCCTCCTCTGGTTCTCCCTACTCACCACCCCACTAAATCTACCTGAGCGAAGTTTCAGGGCCTTCTTGAGTTAACAAACTTTCTGATAAAAAGAGAGGGGCTAGGTCCAAGGCGATTCAAGCCCTCTTTTAGGCCTGCCCTGTAAACAACTCTGGTGCACTCTGTACCATGTGACTAGGGGGTCACTGGCGGCTTACTGGTAGTGAGTGGAGGGAGCAGGGGTTCCTACTCAACATTCTTTGGGCCAGTCTCCAGATTTTTGTGATGCCAGTGTGGTGGCCCAAATGCTAGAGGCCCGGCCTGCCCATCCTGATCATTCTTCTATCATCAACTTTAGGCCACTTTAGCTCAAGATGGGTGTAGGAAGGGCTCCAGATGTTGTTACCTTAAAAGAACTATGCACAAGGGTTTCATCCAGGTCAATGACCACACAGATCCTTCCCTGGTCTTCCTCTGTCACCTCTGGGAGCAGGCAGGTCCCTGGGATCTAAAACCAGAGCCAGGTTGCTGAGATTTGCCACCAAGAAAGCCCAGTTGTTCCTCTCAGCTGATCTCTGGGAAGAGCTGCACTCATCAAGGAGACAAAAGACCCCCCCGCCCCAACTACTACCCAAGAGAGATGCCACTTGAAGGCCAAGAGGTATAAAAAGAATAGACAAGGTTGGCTCCTTGGCCTCAGCCTCCCACTGGACTATGAAATGATCTGGACACTGGAGATGGAGGCCAGGGCTGGTGTGGGATGGATACCAGCTATCCCCCCAAAATCTAATGCCCTGTACATGATGGGCCCTCAGCAAATATCTGGAACAAATGTCTTCCCAGGATGAAGAGGTGGCCAGCCAGACATGGAGGAATGAGGGCATCACCCCATGGGGTTATCAGGGATCATGGGGTCTTGGGCTTCTGAGCACGTATCCGGTCACATTCACATACCTGATAAAACTGGTACTGGAGACATTGGAGCAGATCAGACTGCAGGAGAAAAGGAGACCGTCAGTGCCAATCTATTAATGCCTCCTTCAGCCCATCTAAAGCCCACTACTTCTGCCTAAGGCTGGGAGGGAAATTTTCTCCCCAAGACCCCAGCCCCCTGGAAGATACTATTGACTCTCCTTAAGATGTGGGCAGGAAAGGCCAGACCTTCCTTTCCACATTAGGCCTGATGAAGGGAGGAGAAGACAGTGTCCCTGCTCTTAGCTTCCACACTGTCTCTCAGTTGGACAAAGAGAGGAACAGGGAACTCAAGTGAGTGGTGCAGGGTCACAGAGTCAGAACCAAAGTCAGAATTCCTCGCTGTGGTGGTTTAGCCTCTTGCTTAGTCCTAGAACCCAGGCTTCTCCTTGAGTATATGTATTTTCTATGCATTCCTTTGGGGAAGACACATGGGGGTAGGGCAACCGAGCCTCTACAAAACAGAAGCCAGCCAGTGCAAACCCTCACTATGGGTCCCAAGATGGATGGGGAGGTGGAGTGCAAGAAATCAGAATGCCTTCCCTACCTTTTACTACTAATAAAAATGTTATTATGGTTGTAAAAGGTAGTGTGTTCTTAATGGAGACCTCAAAAAAAAAAAAAATTAAATTCCTACCACTTGGAAAATCTTAACTTGGTATTTTAGTGTATTTCTTTCAAGTTTGTTTTAGCAGTTTTCCCCCCAGTATACAATTTTGTTTTCTCACTTAATGTTGCAACTCAATACGTTTTCATGTTATTATGAACTCTGTAAAAATCAATTACTTAATAATACTGTCACGCTGTACTACTGGAGAATGAAGTGATTTTTCATCTATATACACGTCATTAGCCTGGCTTTGAGAGAGAGGGACAGTTAGACCTTGGGGTTTCAGAAAGAAGAACCAATGGCAATGGGGGCAGAAGGATTTTTGGTCAGGACTATTCCTACCCTTGAAATGTCAGACATATTTACTGGTCATTTTGAGGATCAAAGACACCCATACATCCCCAAATGTTTCTCACGGGTATAGGACAGAGTGCTAGATGGAGTTATCAAGAATGTGGAAGAATTTCAATTCCTCGGTTTCCGGAAAGTCAAGTACCTTGGAAGGTAGTTTTACATAGTAAAACAAACGACACAGGATTTACAGCCAGAATGATCTGAGTTGAAACCCTGACACTACCATTTATTAATTGTTAACTCTTTAGGGGTTACATAAACCTTCTGGGTCTGTTTCCACATCTGTAAGTGGGAATCTCTGCATCTCCCTGCACAGTTCCTGGAACCTGGAAGGATCTGGACTGCAGGGGCCCTTAGTCATGACAGGGACATCCAGGTGGCCCATACCACAAATGAAAAGCAACAGAAGATGAACAAACTATGGGTCCATCAGAGGGAGGGCACGGCCTCTTCTGAGCCAGGGATCTCAGTGACCTCGGGCAAGGCTGCGTGACCACTTGCTGTGGATGCATGGACCTCCACTAGCCGCTCCCTCCTTCATGGCATCACACCACCCCGATCCATCTACCTTAGCAATGGTGTTGGCTTCCTCCTTGTACGCGGAGAGCTCAGTGGAGGAGCTTGACTGGCCAACATGCTGGGTGCGAAAACAGCAGAAAAGGGCCTTGAAGATGTTACGTCCACGAGGCTTTTTAGGAGAGGACTTGGAGACCAGGCCTAGAACAAAAGGAATGATAAAGCACTGACTACAGAGTGTCTATGTCCACAGGTACCTTCTCCCAACTCTGGTGCTATATCCCCTCTAGTCTGTAAGCTCCACCAGGGTACACAGTATGGGCTTGGCTAATGTCCAAATACAGTCAGCAGTGAAATGTACACGTTTATTCCAACATCTTTTCTCTAGTGCATAAACAGCAGAAACCCCCACTTTCAGGTTTGGGAAATGAGCTATAAAAAATTTGTTCTTCATTTTAAGGTGGGGGTGGGCACTCAAAGATGGCACCAGGTATAGAAAGTAGATGTCCTTCTGCTCTGGTAGCAGCACACTGGGGGTATTCTCAAAATTAATTCACAAAGACACAGATTCTCTCTGACTAACACCTGTTCCCACAAGACTACCCATTCTAGATAAAAGAGTGACCTAGACCTCTTCCCTTAAAGTTAGTGAAGCTGTAGTTCTGTTCAGGGTCAGCTTCCCTAGCTGCTGGGTCAATGGTGGCAGAACTGAGACACATTTGACTAGAGAACAGAAGAGCCACAGCCCCAAGGAAAAAGCTAATACTTTGTTCATACCCTTGTCTCCTCCCACACTCCAGCCACTTAATACTCCCCTCCCCTATTCTTAAACTAGAGGCAGATGAACCCCCTTGGGACACATATATCCAGTGTTAGGTTTTAGCCTGATGTCCCTGCTTCCAGACTGCAGCTGCTCAGTCCTGCCTTGATAATTCAGGCTTAGGAAATACAAAGCCATTTTTTCCCTTGTTAAACCTCATCTGAGGATTTTTTCCCCATTGATTTTGAGAGAGAGTGGAAGGGGGTAAGGGACGAGGGGAGAGACATAGACATCAATGTGAGAGAGACATATCAATTGGCTGCCTCCCACACAAGCCCCAACCAGGGCCAGAGATCGAACCTGCAACTCAGGTACTGCCCTTGACCAGGAACTGAATCCACGACTCTTCTGGCTCAGGCCGATGCTCTGACCACTGAACCATACAGGCCAGGGCTACATAGCCATTTTAATAGAATGCTTGGTAAGGCAGCCCCAGAAAGGCTAAGCTGATTCAAAAAGCTATGGGCATTAAAGGATGAATTAAAAATGATTTTTTCAAGTTCCTTTTGGTTTTTAGATGAACTGTTCTGGCAACTGTTGAGCACATCACAGGTGCTGTGGCCAGGAGATGGCGCCACACAACCACTGCCAGAATGGTCCTCAGCCACAGGTGTCCTCTCCCAGGCCTGTGTAGGAGGATGGGCCTACGGATTAAACCCAACTCATTTCACTTTAAAACACACGGTGAACTACTGTGAAGGAAAATAAACGCTGGAAATGCTAATGCCTTTGTGGAAGAAAAAACGGCAAACTGAATGTGACACTGAAGTCAACTTTCCCTGTTGTTCCCTGTAAGAAGGGAAGGGGAAGGGGAAGGGGAAGGGGGGAAGGGGAACGGGAAGGGGGGAAGGGGAAGGGGGAAGGGGGGAAGGGGAAGGGGTGTGTGTGTGTATGTGTGTGTGTGTGTACGTACACACACACCCACACACACACACCCACACACCCACCCACCCACCCACCCAGGAACTCTCCACCTAGTCCTCACAGCACACACCGCACCATCAAGGTTGCCCTTGCAAGACAAGATGATGGAAGAGCCATTTAACACCCAGTTAATGGGCTGCCTGTGCCCCTAGAGAGGAGGGGAGAAAACCAGACTCTTCCCCAGGACCAAGGATAAGGAAATAGCTGCTGAAGAGTCAGTCAGTCAAGTGGCAGTCAAGTGGCAGTCAGCTCGGCTGCAGGACCACTGCCTCAGCTCTGACTCAAAAGGCGGAGGGATTCCTGTAGGTGCCTAAAGGATGTCGGTCAGTGGGTCCCCCAAAGCTCGCGCACGCGCGCACTCTCTCTCAGGCCAGATCCCTTGAAACTAGTATAACTAACTATTAGAAACCTTTTATTTTATTATTAATTTTTAAAATTCTCACTCAAGGATATTTCTCCACCCATCCTCAGACAGAGTGGGAGGGAGGGAGATAGAGAGATGTGGAGAGAGAAACATCCACAAGAGAGACACATCTACTGCTTGCCTCCCGCATGACCCTGACCAAGGCCAGAAGACCAGAGCCAGAACTAACGGCAAGTGAGGTATGTACCCTTGACTGCAATGGAACCCAGGGCTCTTTGGTCCTCTGGCACACGCCCCCACCGCTGAGCCAAACTGGCCAGGGCTAGAAAATGATCAGGATTTTCTCTGGCCAGTTTGGCTCAGTGGTTAGAGCATTGGCCTGCTGTCCAGAGAGACCTGGGTTTGGTTCCTGCTAAGGGCATGTACTTTGGTTGCAGTTTGTCCCCGGCCCTGGTTGGGTTGTGTGGGTGGCAGCCACTTGATGTGTCCCTTTCACATCGATGTTTCTCTCTCTCTTTTCCTCTCCCTCCGCTCTGTCTGAATAAAAAAAAAAGTTCTCAGGTGAGGATTAAAAAAAAAAAAAGAAAAAGAAAAATATCAGGACTCTCAAGCAATTACCCTAAAGACCTGGATATCACTGTTGAGCTCCTGGCCCTGATGGAAGAATGAAGATTTCCAGGGACTGGGGATTTTGTCTGGAAGGAAGAAAGTACATTGGGAACCTCCGCCCAAGGTCCCTGTATCAGGGAACAAATGCTAGAGCACAGCCCAGCACTTAGACAGCAAGATGAGAGGTTCCTTTGATTTTTCCTATTCATAATAATCTATGCAGAAACTAGAGGTTAAAGACAGCTTCTCTACCTGCTTATATGACCCACATTCAATTCCAAGCCCAGGGACTCAAGCAAATGCTGACACAAAGCTGCAAAACCAGAGCTGAACCATCACTTTTCCTTTGGTTTATGGTTTCTTCACACAGAACCACAATCAGAGGCTTAACCTGGGCACTGAGCCTTTCTTAAAAGGCCCCACAGCCCAAGCCTTTTCTGAAGAGAGGCCATCAAGAACTCACCCAGCATCTTAGTGAGACACTGTGAAGGCTGAGTAATCCAGAGAGGCAAGGGGGTGAAAGGGGCAGCTGGCTGGGGCCAGAGAGGTCTCATTGGTGTCCATGGCGGGAGGCAGAAGTGCCTCAGTGTTAGAGAGCTTCGTGAGGTGGAGCTGGGGGCCACTCAGCTTGGTTTGAGCTCTGCACAGGGGATGAGGGTCTTCTTAAAATATACAATGTGCCCTGGCCAATTTGGCTTAGCAGTTAGAGCGTCGGCCTGCGGTCCAGACAGACCCGGGTTCAGTTCCCGCTGGGGGCACGGATGCAGTTTGTCCCCGGCCCTGGTTGGTTGTGCGAGTGGCAGCCACTTGATGTGTCTCTTTTACATCGATGTTTCTTTCTCTCTCTCTCCCTCCCCCTCTATCTGAACAAAGGGTGGAAAAATGTCCTCGGGTGAGGATTAAAAAACAACAACAACAACAATGTGACCAGGCTGAGCCTGAGCCTCAGAGACCACAAATGCCTGGACCTCCGGGGGGCAGGCTCTCAGAGCAGAGCATAGAGCTGTGGTGCCTGGGGAGGGTACCCCAGATTCACTACCCTTTTCCCTATTGGGGCCCCACTTCCTTCAATCCTTCTCTAGGCTATCTGTCCGTACCTTTACAAACACTGTCACTGAGAATGCATCAGGACCACCTCAGGCTCCCCTCAACATGGCTGTCACCTGATAGGGCCTGCAATGGCCTCACCAAGTACATTCATCAGCCTCCAGCTCTCTATGTAACAGGTACTCAGTCACTTTTACTGGCTGCGTAAATGACTCCAGGGCTCCAGGACTGTCATTTCTACAGAACCAGGACCTGTGGACGTCTTCGCTGGTTTGCAATAGCCCAGAAGAGTTCTACGCAGAAAAGGTGCCAGTGTGTGAGAAGAGGAAGGTGGGCTCTGAAGGAGCTGAGCAGAGACAAATCACTTAGTCTTTCTGGGCCTTGGTCATGTTTACTGAGCGATGTGCCAGCCTGTGTTAAGGCACTTGACATCATTACCTCATTTAATCCTCACTAAAAATCGATCTGTAGGCACTAATCCCCCATTTTCCAGAAGGGAAACTGAAGCACAGAGAGGTTAAGAAACCTGCTCAAGGTTACACAGATAGCAGGATAGGAGAGCCAGGATTTAAACCCAGGTCTCCTTGAATCTAGGGCCCCCAACAGCTCAGGGGCATCCTGTTTGTTTACTCCTGCAACAACTGGGAGGTTGTGAAGCACTCTCAAGGTCTCTTAGAATGTTCACTCTATTCCCCTCTAGGCTGGGCCAGTCAAAGATCAGTCTAGCCCTCTTTGCTGTCTGGTTGGGCGGGCCTTGAAAGGTATAAGGGGTAAAACAGAGCAAGGCTTGAATTCCATCCCAGGGCTCATCTCACCCACACCCCAGCCCTGCACCTGTTTTCCCTGGCAGTTACCTCTGGGAGATCAAGACAATGGGGGATGGGGAAAGGGGAGGGGCTGGAGCCAGAAGATTTGGTTAAAGACCTGCTTTGCTCAGTGGGGAACATACACCAGAGTGGGATCTGAAACTTGTGTCAAAGAGCCTTTCAAAGGGCTCCTTTCAGCCGGCACTCAGCATTGTGTCTCTGATAGGCAGGTGCAGGCCACCCCTCTACCCCTCTGTGTATGATGGGGAGGGACACTGACCCCCCTCCCCAGGAGGGCACAAGATTTACAAGCCTGTGAAGATTTCACTGCTCACGATTTCCCTGAGGGAGGATGGGATTCCAATGGGTGCCATGTAGCCCCATAAGCAGCTGATCTCTCTCCTTCATCCTACTGCTACCTGCTTTGTGGACACCCAGCCGACCTCTTCTGCCCAGCTGCCAATGTGCATCTGCTCTCCCTGCTCCAAACATCTGGCTTAGGGCTGGATGTCAGAGAGGACCAGCCCAGAGCTAATGGGCAGAGCTCTGGCTTAAGAAGAAAGTGTTTAAGTGACTGAGAACAGGGAAGCCAGGCCACCCCTGTAGTTCACTACTCTAAGGCTTCCTATGA